AAGACAAGTCATCCTTTATCATGAAATCCAATCGACTTCGCACCTTCGAACGTTCATTGCATCCATTGACCTTTGAGTTTCTTCAAATTTATATTATTTTTCGTATCAAATTATCATCATTCTCGAAATGATTTTAGCTCAAGTAGTAGCTATAATTAAATTATTTCCCTATTAAACTGTTGTGCAGATACTAGAATCCACTGAATTATAATCTTCAAGGTTTCTCAAACTGTTTTTTAAAATGTGATGAATATAAAAAACGTTAATATTACAGTGATTGAATTAAATTTGAGATAATACTTTATCATCAAAAATTCTTTTCACTTCACTTTTTACTATGTGATAGATGTAAGCAATGAGTATTGAAGTAACTTTTCACATCAAAATATTTAATTTAACAAGAACAATATAATTTTTAACCGTAATTCATTGAATAGAATTATTGAAATAAAAAGAAAAAATCCAATAAACTGAATAACCAAAAAAATGTATAAATGTTTTGAGCGAATTTCAATAGAATAAAATCAGTTAAGAATAGAGAAAAGATTGAAGTTGAAAAAACCTAATCGACACGTCGACGTTGGATTTGAATGAGAAAAGTCAAGTGAAATGAGAAAGAAAGAAATAGATAGATAGACGCCTTGGAGACTCAGTGAACCATCGTTGTGTTTCTTAGACTGGAACTCTCCAAGTCTTTCTCTGATATTTTTTACTTGCAGTCGCCAGGAGAACTCCAGGGAGGGAAGTTTGAATGAAAATAGATGGAAAGACTAGAACGGAGATGCTGCCTTCGAATACGGACGATATTCTAGAGCGCCAATGTCGAGATTCCGTTGACTTTGTGTAAGAGGGAAATATCTACTTGGGGGGAACATATGGATACCGAAAGAAGAAAACAGGAAGACACAAGTAAAAAAGGAAATCACGACCAACTTTTCTATAAGTTTCCTTCTTTGGCGACTTTTAAGAGAAAAGAAAATAAAATATTACCAAGTTTGTATATATGTTCTACTCCTATATACACATCTATGATATTGGTTAAATAATTTTCATGAAATTTAAAAAATGAAAAATGATCACACAAATAGGTAAAGTTTAACTGATGATTTAAAGTATAAATTTGTTTAGTTACCTCTCTATTCAATAGGATAGAGTTACTTCTGGGCACGTGCCAGTTTGAGGACTCTAACTCTACTCACTATACAAATATTGTCTTCAAATAAAAAAGATTCATGAGTATGTAAACGTAACCATACCATTACAATCGTATCTTTACATAAAATATATGTATCTTTGACTAAGATCTTATTTTATTTATCTGACTTGAAGTGATCTAATGATAAATATCTATGTACCTAGTCTACATTATCCAATTAAAAAATAAATTACTAAATATTTTAAATCAACATCACAGAAATTCAATATTTATCTACAAACAATACTTCATTTAAATTATTTGTTGATTTTACATTAAAACAACAACTGTTTAGTTCAATATGTTTTGTATTTTTTCATAATACTCCAATAATAAAAATAAATCAATAATTGTGATTTGTACTCCAAAATGATTTAATACCATTTTCAATCTATTATTATTATTAAAAATTATGCTTATTAATTATATTTAAATTTCTATGACTATTCTTATTTTTGAAAATGATACAGTTTATAATAATCATCCTTAAACTTTTTTTATATAATTATATTATTCTATTAAAAGTATAGTGTTTTTTTCATACACATGAAAATGTTACCACTTGAACTTTAAGCTACACACCGTAATTCTTAACATTTTCCAAGTCTTTAATAATACTTGTACATACCCAATGAAGGTTCAAACAATATTATTATCATTTCGAAACGTAGTTACGATAATAGCAACTGAATAAATAAAAGGAATCTCTGTTATTATGAAACATTGCTTCAAACTAGAAATTAAATTATTATAATAATGATTATTATTATCAAGAATTAAAGTAAATATCATCATTGTTGTATTTATTGTTTTAAAAAATAATTATGGATTAAGTAAATAATTTTATATAAAAAATCACTGTCAACAAATTTACATAATAAAGTTGCTTTATGCAAAAATATTTAATACTTTTATTTTCATCTCAAGATAATTTGAAATTATTCATAATACCAACGTCCAATCTAATATTACGTAGCAGTTCGACTTTATCTTAAACTATAAATAAACGAATGGTATATTATCAATGAATACCTTCACAATGTGAAATAATCCAGTGACTACAAGAATGGAAAATATCTCTCAGCTATGGTTCTATAGTTATATCGATCTGATGGATATACATAAATGTATTTTTAAACACTTAGTAAAACCTTTATATTTAAAAAAAGCATTTATCTGCTTTCGTCTTGTCTGTATAGACATCCAAGGGCTGTCCAAAGAAGAAACGTTAGAGGAGATTAAAAAGAAAATGAAACTTATGAACTTTTTGGAACCCAGAAAGATGAACAAAAAGAGATAGGCAAAGGTAGAAAGGTTCGAGGTTAAAAATCCTGCCAATTTTGAAAGGTTATTTTAAGGGATTCCTAGAAGTACAGCTGGATGTAATATGGAAATTTGAAAGAAAATGCCTTTTCCAAGTTAACTGAAATTTTTCAATGCTTAACAAAATCATAACCAAGTCCTATTAACTAATTTAGATAATTCCACAGAAGAGATGAATTAAATGAATTTCTGAATGATGTAATAAAATATTTGATAATACTAAAAACGAGTAATGATCATTATAAAGTGAAGAAAGATCTGTCGAAAAGGGTTTTGATGTATATTATCCAACAATCATGAGTCAAGCGCTGATTATATTAAATGGCTGGTAAAATGGTCTGCTTAACATAACGTTTATCTGCTCTTCTTGGTTTTAGTACTTTCTCACTGCCTCGTCAGCCATTGCCCATAAACTCTCTCCTGTCGACTACCAAGTCCTTTTCTTTCAACTTCATCTCGTCCGGAGTCACTTCTCCTCCCCCATCATTTTCATTTCATCTATCGAAGCCGGTCTCTCTTCATCCCTACGTGAGTGCTCTCACTTCCTATCCTCTCAGCATCTCACTCTAAAACATTCTCTCTATCTCACTTAAACTATACAGGGTGTCACAAAATTCACCACAAGCCATATGTGTCACATCTGATTTTATAATTCTAATTAGAATTTTATATGGAATTTTTGACAGATGAAAGAAATAATTAATAAGTTCAATTATTCATCTGTCAATGTTGAAGAAAAAAATTGATAAATATGAATGGAAATAATTTTAGAAGACTGAAAAAAACTATTTAAGGATATAAATTGAGCAATGAAAATAAATAAATAAATAATTTTGTAATTAAATTTTAGAGTAATGAGAAATAAAAAATGATATAGTGTGAGAAATATTGAATTTGAACAATAATTATTGAATTAAATGAGATGAAAGAATATAAATTTTTGGTCGATGCATATGGATAATGTACGATATAAAGCTAGTACATACAATACAAAAACATTTCTATTATCTGTCTCTCTCAAGTTGAGTCGAATCAAAACCCGTTCGAGAGTCGTTCCCGGGGCGAAAGAGGCAGCGACGCAGCTCGCCGCGGTCGTTCCCCCTTGAATTGTTGGAAGAAATATACATACTCGTATATGCGTGAACGCACAGGACGCCATGGAGATTGTGAGGGTGCAGAGTGAGAAAGAGAGAAAGAAAAGAAAGAGAAAAGGAATGTTGAGCAGCAGACCGAAGTGAGAGCGAGAGGTAAAGTCTCCAGCTAGGGCTTTGTAATGCTTCTACCTCGATTCACGAATCTGATGCCATCGCCCCTTTCTCTTGCCTTCCCTTTCTTCACACAAGGGTGCAACGAGAAGAGATAGCTTGAGCTCCAGACCATAGTAATGGTTAGAATTATACATATATATTTCTTTCCCTATTTTACACACTTTTCTCTCTTTCTTTTTTGTCCCTAAATTTTCAAGACAACAGTTTCCGACTGGCCCAAGGGGAAATAATTGTGCGTTTTGTGGTCTCTTGATCTCGGCGTAAAGTAATCCAAACACGGCATAAAAATTATGTTTACGAGTTTCAAATGGCTAAGGAATTACGGCCCCCCAGCAGCAGATTATTTTTTAAGAGACACGATCAAATGATTAAGAAAATGACATGAATATTTATAGACTTGTTTGATTTTGTTACTCTAATTGTTGTGGAATTATTCAAAAATCACAAATTTACTAAAAAAAATATGATTTTCAAAGACTGCATAATTTTGAGTTATACGATAGTAGAAATGACCATCATGATCAGACGTTATTCAAGTAATAAATAAAATATAAATGGTTCGAAACCACCGAATAATACAATTGCTTGCAGTGATAAAAGAGATCATATGTATTACAGTTTTTATCTAAAGTTTAGTTAATTTACGTGTCATAAAGAATTGTTGGAAAATAGATAATATTTTTTATAATCATATCAATGCTTTTTCATTCATTTCCAAGTGTTATTCAAGCTTATTATTCAACGTATAAAAACGTGACAAATATTTTTATCAATAAATATTCGAAAGTAGTTTGGGAAACAAACCAATAAATAATGCTCCAAACTAGCTATTGTAAAAAAAAATAACAAATATTAATAAACAATATTAAAAACTTTTGAAATTGAATAGAAATATGAAATTTACCAACTCATAGAAACGTACGATTATTCACGGACTTTATGGTACAGAAAAAAACTGTCACAAATTTGATATAAATGATAGATTTATAGTTTAATAAATTTTTAAATCATTTTTTTAAATTTCATGATAATAAAACACTTGTCCTAACACTATAGATATAAAAGAATCATTAATTACATAGAAATTCATCGAAAGTTGTTGACAGAAAGCAAACAAATCTTCCATCATATATGATATATGTTTTAGCCAAGAATTTTGTTCATAAAGAAAATAAACTAAAGAGGATAAAACGATTGCAGAGAAAAGAACTCACCTGTTTTTTCTTTGATCTCGCATAGTACTGAAAATAATGCCGGCTTCATTCTGTGGCAGTTGAGAGTGTGTTTTCTAAGAACAAACAAAAGACAAAAAAAGTAAACACTGAGAAGAACCACCTGAGTAACTTTTTAAGATCAACGTTACAAATATGTAATCAGTTTAATAAAATAAATAAAGCACTAGCTTGATTCCTTAATTGCATTATGATTATTCACGAGTAATTCTATATCTTTAATAGCATTCCAATATCACCGATAAGCATCGTTTAACGAGATAATTATACATTCAGTAAATGCACTGTTTTTTTACTATTTATCTCGTAAAGACTTTAATAAAATTAATGTGTGTATTCTATTATCAAAATTATATAATAAAAAAGTAATTCTAATTCAAAAATATTTGATATTAAAACAGAATTTAGATTTACTCCAAAAACATATTTACCTAGCTTGTGCTTCATCAAGACTCTGATCTGTAATATTCATAATTTGTTGTAAAATTTCTCCAATATCCTGCTTTCTTGCCTCCACAGCTTGATCAGGCCCTTGGGTCGCCGTCCCATCCACAGGACCCATATTTCCATAGCCCCCAGTATTTTGGGCCCCTTGACCCTGGCTTCCACCCATTAACCCAACACTAGAACCTCCGTGTTGTAGCATTTTTAACTTTTATGTGATATTCAAACTCCAATTGAATAACTTTTACGACTATTTAACTTTCCAATAATTTTTATTCCAATTTCACGTACTAATGTTGCATTTGAAAAAATATATACAAACACGTTATTAACTCCAACAAAAACGACATAAACTCTCGCGCGCAGTCACTAATTTTTGAGGTTATGCCACCTTTCTTTGTCTTGATCTTAGACTCTTATGAATGTGAATGGAGATGACTAATTAAATAAACAAAAATAGTCTCTACTTTATATATAATATTATATCGTAGATAAATTAAGCACCCACAAAAGAATATTTATTGAAGTTTATTTCAAACACATCTATTTGACTCTAACTTGTTTTATTCTCTCTCTTTCTCTTCTCTCGTATACACACACGCAACATAAAATGGTGTATCGTCTAGTTTTGACGGATTGTCGAGTTTTACGTATACGCGTTTTCAAGGTCGCCTCTCCGCGACGTGTGTTCCCCTTCCAGCTACATTCGTCTCCTGTTGTGCACTTTATCCCTTTTTTTCTCCTCGTCTTTTATTTCGTCACAACAAACACTCTTTCTCGTTTTCCTGGGTGGACAACACACTCCGCGCACTCTCCACCTTACAAGGCAACGCTCCGACCGTTTCTGTTGCGCTCCGTCTGGCTTCGCTGCTTCGCGTTTCTCAATTCCACCAACTTGCTCTGCACGCGTATGCGTGCGTCACTGAACTGCCGACAACGCATGTGTGCGTGTACCACTCGGCGGCCATCGTTGTTTTAACCAATCACAATCGCTCATTTGTCATCCCTTACTCCCACTCTCGTTGTCTGTCTCTTCTCCTTATTTATTCCATACTTTTCTCTTTTCCTCTCACCAGAGAGAAGAATTCTCCGTGAAAAACATCAACAGTGTTTCCCTCTTTCAATACAACTTGTTACTAAACGATGATCTACACAATTCAATTACCTGTTTCGATTTCGTGAAAGATGCTCCGTTTGTAGATTTTAGAGAAAATGCTTGTATCGTCATAACTTTTTATTTTACGTGTAATATTCTAAAAAAAATGATTGAAATTATAATTTTAATATTTATTGATTAAAAGACAAGTGCTTCCCTCTTTTAAAATGAAATACAACTCGTTACTAAAGTATGCTAACCTTACCTTGACAGTATACACAGAAAAAAGAGAGAAGATGACTCATTACTGTGTTACACTTCTCAATTTAAGAATTATTTTCATAAAAATCTAAATATGAATGATTTTTGTGAGCACAGCATTAATTACTATCAAAAATAGAAACAGCGAAAAGTTTCTGTAATAACCTATACTGTGTTCATGACCTGGACTAACGTTTATAGCTAAAAAGCCGGAGATGGAATTCGCTCGGCTGTTAATTAGTAAAATTATTAAAATTTTTTAAAACAGTCATAGATGATTTATGAATAAAAAATACAATTGTTAATTAACTAAAATTAATTAATGATTGGTGAAAACAAGCCAAGATATTTGTAACAATTAAATATATAGAGGACAATGTTGAACAAAAATGAACTAATGAAGTTTTCGAATAACAATGAAAACTTTTAACTTCCTTATATTTATAGATGAAGAATATTACTATTAATTAAATAATTTATACAATCATACTATTAATGTTTTTTGAAAATGATATTCTATCATCATGAATAACATTGAATCATATTAAATTATTATTAACAAAGTCTAGTCGTGAATCGTAGTCCTTTATCGCTTATGATAAAATACATATATTCTTATCAAATATAATTCCAAGCTATAAACTTCTTAGTCGCCAAAAAGAGAGATAACTATTTATCATTACTTCCCTGCTTCGTTAGTAGTCCTTTTTTTATTAAAAAAAAAAAATAACACAGGAAAAGTTCAAGCTATGAGCCTTTGTAATCCACCGACATCTATGTGTTGTTGGTAGCCCTTACGGACATAAGTAGTGCTGTCCCTCTTTTGGTATAAAATATAACTCGTTACTGAACTGCTAACCTTACCTTAATTGTAAACAGTTCAATTTCTTATTTGAATTTCTTGGAAACCATTGTTTTGATTCAAACACAAACCTAATCACATAAAGAGTTTATATTGAAATGAATAACTACGGGTTTTATTGGTCACTGACGATACCAACGAATCTTTCACGATCGCTAGTACCACACACGTGTTTAATAGTTATTCACTGCAGTATTCAAATATCATAACAACCACACAGTTAAATCAGTGGCAAGCTGCTAGAATATTAAGACTAATGAACAATACTTTTTGTAAAAAATCATCAAATATGGAATCTGCAGAACAATATATCAAAACAGCTCGTTACAGAGATACTGATCAATGGTCAATATATTTTGTGAATAAGAATGGATTATCTGTGGAAAAAATAGATAAAATAGTTTCAGAATTTGTGGGGAAGAAAAAAATAAACCAAACGAGCAACCCAAGTGGAATGTGTTTTATAAATTTATTCTCGTTTGAAGATGCAGTGAAATGTGTTAAAGGTTTGCAAGGTCATGAATTGATACAGTTGAAGAAACAATTAAAAAATCAAGGAGAATTAAAAAAGAATGGAATTAAAAATGATGAAACGAATAAAAGTGATTCCAAATATGATGAAATGTACAAAAGTGACTTCAAACATGATGAAATGTTCAAAAGTGATCTTAAAAAAAATGAAATATCCAAAAATGGTTTTAAAAATGATGAAATAAAACAAAAGGAGGAAGAAAGTTTTATCATTAATGATTCTGATGATATTAAAAAAACACCAGAAAAATGCAACGAATTAATAACTGATTTGAAAGCAAAAAAAGTTATTGATACCAATACTTACGACTATTTGAAACAAGAATTTCAAGATAAAAAATGTGTCGAAGCCGAGCCAAAAATGCCAGAACTGGTATTAAAAAATAATGTTTCCAATGAAGCAATGTCCAAAGATACTACTGCTGAATCTACACATTCTGTGGAAGAAAACTCTGATTTAATTGAAAACGTGGAAGCTGAAGAGCTTATCATCGCCAATATTCATGAAGATTATGGAACTAATTATATTCTTCATCTCTTGGAAAAATATCAACCAATCGGCGCTTCATTTGTGAAAGTTTCAGAACGTTATGCATTACGTTATTGTCATGTTTATTTTACATCCAGTCAATATATTAATGAAGTACAGAAAAAATTTGATAAGTTTGAGTTAGGTACGAAAAATCTTATCGTTTTATATGTTAATCGCCTCAAAGGCATTCTCAGTTTATAATTAACTGAAACTAAATATTTTCTATTTTATCATTTTGAATATTATTATAAATAAGTTCCTTTTGACATTGCTTGTTTAAAACAATTATTGTATTTCTTTCATTTATACCAAAAGAACGAATCGCATGAAAATGATTTTTTATATTTTCATTTTATGTTATGTGAGAATTCGATATTTTGCATACTAACATTCGTTTCTTACACCGAACTTTCATATTTTTTAAAAAAATAATTGCGTCAATTTATAGAAGTTTTTTTGTATTATTTAACATAATCTTATTTTACGTATTATAACTATGTAAACTAAAGTATTTTTGATTACTGAAGACAATAAATTGTTTAAGAAAAATTAAATTTTGTTCTTATTTTTCACATAAAGTCACATTTATTAACTTTATTAAATTTTCTGTAAGAAAAATACAAAATTTTATATTCTATCAATACACTATTTATATGACTAATGATACTATCGTAAGAAGAAACAGAACAAGGCATGTAAAGAGAAATTTAACTCCAGTAAAATGTGAGATACATCTGTATCATGAGCAAAATATTTTAAAAGAGAACTGGATGCTGGTTAACATATTTCACACAAAGAAATTATTATTCAACTACATTTTCAGTAACTCAATTCGATAATCTTATCAGGAATCTAGTATTCTTCATAAAAATGGTTAGTTAAGTATAGATAGATTTAATAAGTACAAATAAAATAAAAAAAATTCACAATTATCTTCATTTCATCATCATTTTTTATCTAAATATTACGTATTAAATGCATTAAATCATTTAGTTTATTTAATAATTACAGACGAATTCCTGGGTTTCTAGATGCTACAAAGTTGAGCAGCTCATCACTATCTTCACAAACGAAGGGTTTTAAATGATGACAGGCTACATCATGCCATTTAATTCCGTCATTGTAGAAGTGGTTCAAGATTGAAAGACAAGATTCATCATTGCCCTGAAAAAGTATAATGTTAATTAGTCAGGTTAGTTGAAATGTTAAGTGGAAAATTGTCTTTATTGTTTCAAAAAAAAAAATTAAATGTTAAATAACAATATGATAATAATATCAATTATCTTACCTGAGCAGCTTCACGGTTGTCTGGTTGGGGTTGACCAAATCCACCAGTGTTACTCCAGTCTCCAGTATTGCGTTGAGTTGTTGGCCCAATTTTTGCTCCTGATCCAGACCAGAACCATCCATTTATGTTTGGAGGTTGAAGGTCAGGTCTGTCACAACCATTGAAGTTACATTTACGTCCAGATGTCCAGATGTATTTGACGAATCCTAATCGGTAAATATATTTTTACATATTAAACTTCTCTTTAAAACGTTGAATAAATATTTATAAAAGTGACATTGCATGAAAAAGCTAATATTTATGTTTACAATAATCAAATAAACAACTTTATTTACATTTTTAAACAACTTTTTCTTTCTCACATTATTTAATTGCTGAGAAAGAATACATTTCATGAAAAATTACTCTCATGTATTTTAATCCGAATGGTTTGATAATATGATTAATAAAAATAATGAGGAAAAAGTAATTAATTGCATAGTTTGTGTTACAGAAATTATGTTTTATATGGACTACAAAATCATCTACTTAATAATGTGGCGAAAAAAAATTAAAGAAAAGTAACGTTTCACCTCTGTCAATTAAAAAATTTGTAAGTTAATATTTCAAATGATAATTAACTTTTGAATAATACATGTCTCTTTTATGTCTCGTCTGTGAGATTTTTCATTTTTTTTTTCTACATTATAATATAAATTACTCATAAAGTATAAATAGGAAATTCTCTTTTCTCTAAACGACAGTTTAGTGAAAGTGCAAAAATTAAAATTACAAGGAATAGTGAAAATAATGAAGGTGTCGATTGGATGAAATTTCTCGATGTAAAATTTATTACCTCGAGCTATTCTTTGCTTGATAAATTCATTCTCTTGTGGTGTTTCCAGAGATACCGTGTCCATACAATGTCTGCGGCAAATATTTCGGGCATCCAACCAATCTACTTCCATATTTTTCGTTGGCTGATGCTCCCAACTGAAGAAGTAAGAGTGGGTAACACCTCTTGCATCTCTGTATGTGGCGTGACGGATTCCTAAAAATTTTTTATGACCGTAGTTATTATTACTATTGATTTCAAAATTTTATAATCCTTCTAGAGAAAAGATTTCATAAAAAAATATTGAGGTAAAGAAGCCAATGATTTAATTAAAATCAGAATTTCTTTCTTATAATTTTAATTCTTATCGGAATGCTTTCAATCAACAATAAAAGTTCAAAATTATGATGAATCATGAATGATCACTTGAAAAACAATTTCTTTCTAATTAACTACCAATCACTTCTTGTAAGATCCGTATTAATTTTCTTCTGATCTTTCCGGATCGACTAATAATAGATGTCTTTAGTAATCAAACATGATAACTGTTCAAGAGATCAATGATAATCGTGACTTGCTATTTTTTTTTCAACGATTCGATCCGAAATTAAAAAAAAAAAATATAGATGAAAGTCATGAATGTCAAAGGAGGAAATGAAGAAATTTAGTCTCAACTCCTCTTTAACATAGCTGACCTTTCTGGCGTTTAACCTCTGCATAAGTATTTAATAATAGAAAGTTAGTGAAATTCAACTTAGAGCACAAACTGCTCATAAACAATTTTTAAATAGTATAATTAATTATAGCACTACATCAATGATTGATGATGAGTCTTATTTTTATTAATCAAATAACTCACGATTTGCACAGCTTCTTGGTTCTGGTAATGCAAGTCTTCTTTGTGCTGATACAGCCACGACCCCAACCACCAGCAGCAACAGCGCAGACTTCATGGTCTAAAATCTGCAAAATACATGGAATTGGTGAATAAAAAAATTTGCTTTCATAAATATTAATTTGATCTAGTTGATAGATTATAAAAGTGTCATTAATGCATCAGGATTGCCTTGATTTCATCCACCATCCTCTTACTTATTAGGTCGCAGTGACCTCCTCAGTTTACTGATTCCTTCGTAACGCTAATCGCAAAACGGATTCGAAAGTCTCGGTCAGTTGATTGACCTTGGACATATGATTGAACTGGTAATTAAGATTTAACTAGTTTATTTTTTAAATGTCTACAAAGTCAGTGTTTTAATCTTTTTTATTCTTATTTATGTTACAGGATCTTTAAAAATATATATTTAAAAATAGCAAAAAAATGTACAATGCAGAAATTAGTGAAATCTGAAAATAAAGCATTCCATATTGTGCAACTGACAAATGCTCATTGATGAGGCAAATTAGTCTTAGTCTCTAAGTGAAAGTGAAATTAATGATTTCATACGAGGACGCCCGTTTGTCTTTTTACCTTCAACTAGTTCTACTACAATAGAAGCATATGAAGATGCTTTCGAAAAAATTTTCTGTAGATTGCGAAATCATGCTGATGAGATACATGCGTAAATAAGTTGAGTAATTTTAACATAAGGACCTCTATACAATGAAGTGTTTGGAACAGAGTTGGTTTATATACTATTGAATTACGGTATTGTAAATGTGCACTTTGATGTACGCAGCATAACGGACCGTCACCTCTTCCCCCTATTTCAGTTATCCAGGATGAAACAATGTCGTTTCTGAACTCAACGCCTCATACGCGACTTGCCCTGGCGAATGGCCCAGTTCACGTCCTACAATCACTGTAATCCGGTTATCATAAATATGTATCACGCAAAAATGCACTCATTGTAAATCGAAAATACTTTTATCATTTTAGCTATTTTATAACATACAACTAGTTAAGGATTATTATAATTGAATCATATCAGTCCGTTAACAAAAAATGTCATAATTAAATCAACTATTAGAGCAAAACAAATTACCAGCTTTAAAAGGTCCGTCTATTATCCGTTTATTCGAATAAACTAATTGGTCTCTAATGAATATTTCAGTGCTACTAATTAGGTGTAATTAAGGCTCTTCAGCTTGTATATTTTTAAACTCGTTAATGACACCTGGTGTTTACTGAATAAATGTCACCGTGTCTCTACAAGTAGTTTGTTTCGTATTTGTTAATTTATGCTCCAACTAATAAGGATGATAAATAAATAATTAATAACACGTGAATCGTTTTAAAAAATTGAATTGATTTTTATTTTTCTGTATACAAAATTATTTCTCAAATCAAGTGCTCAAGCAGTAGAAAAATATATAAAGAATAGCTTCATTAATTATATTACTGATTATATTGAGGAATATTTGAATATTGAATTTAAAATGTAATAAATCATCTAGAGAAATAATATTATTTATTCTGAAGATAGAGTAAATAAAACTAAGATATCAGTGATAAAATTTTTATCGATTGAAAAAAATCATGTCGAATCTCATAAACTGGTAAATGATTTTGTCGATAAATTTTGTTTTATATTTATTCATACTACTCATAAAGTAGATACAGATGTAATATTCGTTATCACCGATATTCCCATGGCATTTATATTTAGAATCATATGAAATATATAATGTGCATAACTTTTAGTTTATTAGTGGTAAAATTTATTGTCATAATTAATGACACCCTGAAAATGTAAAACAAGTAAAACGAAAGAGTTAAAAACCTCAATAAGTGTATGACATTTAAAACAGCAGGTAAAAGCAACTCAGTCTTCTCCTTTTTTTTTTTTTTAAATTAGTTGCTTCTAAATCACGTGATGTATCCCAAGTGAATTTCGTAATGTTTTGTCACATTTTATACTTGATCGTGCTGCATGTGACGATCAATATCTTGTATAGAAAACACGAAGAATCAATAAGAGTAAACGTTGAGTAAAAGGTTTGATTTAGCTCAAACCACTTCAAAAGAAGAGCCTACTTAATACTTAAATATAAAGTATGATGAAGTTACTTACAATGTTTCAAATTACTCCATTAGAGTTGAAGTTAAATTATAGATAAAAAGTCATAAAAAATAATAACTTTATCCTTATTTTGAATAGTTTTTGCGCAATTACTGTAAATTGAAGACAGAATCTTCAAGTGAATGGCTATATGTACCGTAAACCCATATGAGAAATCCCTATAAGGTAAAGATAACTTCGAAAATTATTTTGATAGGTAGTAGTTGGTAATAGGTTTTTTTCCAATTTCTTCTTCTAAAAAATTACTTCAGAATAGAAGTTTCCTATTATTATTCTTTCAAGCTTCAGTTCTCATTGAAATGCATCATATGAAAATGATACAGTAGAGAAATTTAGATTAGCTTATCATTAAAAGCTTTTTCATTTATTTCTGTGAAAAGAAAATTCATCAATATTCCACTACGTTTTCTTTTTGAATAAAACAGAACAAATCCGGGTGTTATCAACTTCTTGTTGTTAATTAATTTAAATGATGTTAATGATGAAATATATTAGATATTTAAACTAAAATTCATTCAAAAAGGGTTTAGTATCTAATGGTATTTATTGATGAGATAAACTACTGAGTAATTTATTTTAAATGATCAATTTTCTCCGATTAAGTTTTATCTCAAATATTTAAAGTGGTATTTAATTCAAGCATCAAATCATAAAAGTATTAGAAATTCTAAAAAAAAAAAAACTAATAACTGATATTAACATTTGACAAACGAAAAAATGGTTTATTGAATTTTGAAATTTGATGAAATTAACTACAGATGTTAATTGCGTTTTTTAAGTTATCTAATATTTATTTGTAATCGAAGAATCTCGTTAGGAAACAAAAAAAAGTGAAAAACCAACATCACATTCAACGTTTAAAAATAGAAACTACTCATCAATTTATTTTATCCTAGCCTATAATTAAAATAAAAAAGTTTTTCTCTTAATTACACTAGAAATTACATCTTATCGGTAAATGGTGGTAATTATATTCTCTTTCATCAATGCAATAAGTAACAAAAATGCAAGTGATATTAAGTAGTCACAAGACCCATCTCGTGATCATCTAAATCGTCTTTCAAATTACTTCCCGCGAATAGTAAGTTGCGATTCTTTGATTAATGATAAACAAGGTATAAAAGATCTAAACATAGGACAGACTTGTCGATTGATGCAATCGGATGATCACGAGGTGCGCTTGCACCTTGCATCTTACACCTGGTGAATTGAACAGCCACCGGAGACGAGAGAAAGTAGAACTTGGGCGACGGTGCGTTTGTTGTATGTTACATCATGTTAAATTATGATATTAGCGATGAAAATACCAACAAATTATTAGGTTTTACTGTACTGAGGAAATTATGTTCTACATTTAATTAAATTCAGTGAAATCATTGACAATTACAAGATTCCTTTCAATAACAATAATTAACTTTTTTGTTATAAACAATTATGATTGCTTCATCTTCTGTTTTTTGTTTGTTGCTTTGTGCACTACATTATTTAATCATCAATTAACTCATTAAGGTGTTTTCAAAAGAAATACAATGTTATAAATTACATTATTTAAATGATGTTGCAAGTTATTACCGATGTTACCCCTCGAATGCGTTCGCTCTTCATCAAGTTGACATACGTCTACGTAATAACGAGTTAGAAAGTTTCCGATGCCCGACATAATCCAATATAGACTTGTATTAGGAGTCTATCAATGATAAAAGAGTTATTGCCTGAAGCTTTGGAATTTTTCCAAGTCAAACATTCCTCAATATATCAATGGAAAAAGCAATTTCTAACCAATCTAATTTTTTTTTTTTTTAGATACAAAACAAAAACTATTCTTCTCGGTATTAATATAATTTTTTAATACAAAAGGGTCATTGGTTTATTGAAGAGAAATAAATTTCGATACATAATCTGATCTTGGAGAAAAAACTGATTGCTTGTGTGTACGATAGCTGGAGGCAATTTATACCGTTACGACCTGCCAAATAATGTTTCAAGTTGTCTCTCGGTGAGTAAACTTCCGAAGGAAGCACAATGACCGTTGAAAATTGAAGAAAAAATTGTGGATATTGCAAGTAATCAAGAATCGAAGAATCATCGAAGACAGATATAAGAATTGTGTCAGACTTCTTGTAGTGCAAATGATGAGAATATGTGTGTACGCCCTATTGACAATACCATTTGAGAATGAACAAGAAGCCGGTGTATATGCACGGTGCCATGGGTAACCGTTAACTGGCCGGCTTTGCCACTGTTTCATGGAGATACGAGAGATCAGACGTTATGGTTTCGTTTCAGTTCTTCAGCTTTTTTTCATTCGTTTCTTTTATTATTATTCTTTCTTAGTATTTGAAACTAGAACTTTTCACCAATTTACTACTAACTAATTACTTTTGCTTCACGTTTTGTTCGGTTATTATTTATGGTTTGGTTGTTTCATTTGATTTTGTGAAAAAAAGAAGGTTACTGGTTTTACCTGGAAAGTAACAAAACTTAAAAAAAAATCTTTCTCAAGGAAAGCAGGACAAATCACTGATAATTATATATTGCTGTATAGTGTGTTTTTAATGATACAAAATGAGATGATAATTTTAAAAAATATACCTTTTTCAATGGATAAAAAAGTGTTTTGTTTATGTTCTTTTTTCTTAATGTGATACGGAAGTTTAAATCAGATATACGCGTGATAATATTTTTATTAAGTAAATTTAATTGTCGACGAATGTAATAGAATACGTAAGACAACATTGAGCTTGTGCAATATCCCGAATTTATGCTCCCTGAGCATGATAATTTTATAGATGTGATATATACTGTTTATCATTTTATATACATTTTTGATCAATTATTAATAATTTATTGAGAATGATAAAATGCCGTCAACTAACTTCTTGGCAATAAAACTTAACTGTCAATTAAATATTCATTCAGCATTTTTAATAATAACTGCAACGATCAATGACATCAAGAAGAACAGTTCAATGCTACCAAAGTCATTTTCAACAACAAACAGTTTTCTTATAAACATTGATTATTATTTTTAATCTCACAATTTTTAGTGATATTATTAATTCAACAAATATACGAACAATAAAAAGAAAAGCTATAAATGTGTCTAATTTATTCAAAAATTAACCAAAAACATTATTGAGACAAGTAGCAAAAATAATAATTTAAATGTGATAAATAATTTTAGTTAAATTGTTAATAATTTGTTAAAACACTTTAGAAGTTTGTCATGTTAAAATATTAATAATAAACAGTGAGAAAATCAAAAACTTACTAATTGAACACAAAAGAATAGTTGATATCTCTTGGAAGTGTGAAGTGGCAACAAATTGCTGATTTGAAGAGCAGAACCTTACGATTGGGGATTACGAAGAAGGAATGAACTGTCGAGCGATCGTGATGAGCCAGTATATAGTCGGCCCACATTCCCGGGTGCTACAAGTAACCTAAATTGCTCCCACCAGTGTTTCTCAGGCATCATCTTCAGGGGGCCGAAGCCCATACGAAGGATTTGTGCCCCACCTGATGCACGATTGATGGACTTACTGCTGTCGTTATATTACGTCTTTAATGTCCACTCTAACGAATGTTCATCTTCAGGAATTAATCAAGAATGCACGATTCAACCTAGACTATTGCAATCATTTTCACATTTCGACTATTTTATTTCTACGTATCTTACAAGTTAGTTTTTTTAAGTTTATTTTTTACTTGAAATTTTGCAACAAGTATTGCAGTGAACGCAAACTTGTTTTTAGTAATGGCTTGCATCTGCTTTAAGGTTACGTTAAAATTAGATTATTTTACCATTGATGTGTGTTTTGAAAAGTATACTTGGTTTGTTAAATCAAATAATAAAATGTAATCGTCAATGAAGAAAAAGAAAGTTGATTTATCTTGCTCAATTACTTAAGTAGTAAAATATATAATTTTATTGTAATAAATTAAAATTACAAATTTTCTATTGATTAATTTCAGATTATTACTTCACGCTTTTGGGGAGAATAAAAAAGATTTTAATTGAATCTGTAATTCATCTACAGAATAGAAGATGCTGGATTAAGTGAAATGATATTCACTCAGAGTTGCGGAATAAACAATTGTAAGTTAATAAAAAATTTTGAAACATTAATTTGATGTTAGGATACATCCGGGTTGTGGTATTTATTTTTCTTGTTGATACCAATGAATCTGTTTTAACTTTCTCACTTTTGCTTTTTGTGACAAGTTTTATAGTTAATTTATCTGCAAAAGTTAATGGATATTATATCTATTATGTTTATAAAATTTTAATTAACTTTAAAGATCTATTGTTCGGTAAAAATGAATCAACACTTTATTAGGAAAGATAATTGTTTCAACGCAACAGGAAACAATGTTTCAAAAAGAAGGTAATTTCATAAGAAAAAAATATCCACCAAAAAGGACGTGAGAAAAGTGTGACGTTTTGAAACCATTCGCGGGTAATTTTGGAGATTAAATTTATTTCTACAAGATGTCGACACTTTCTGATGTCAAGGTGAATTCTCATGAATATCACGTGACAAAACGAGAACGGCATTGTGCGGTATTTAGTACACTTACAAAGGTCAATAATACCGGGCATTATCGCCAAAATACATCATTGAAGATGATAAGGTTTTTTACACCACTCTACAAATATCAATTAAATACAATGTCAACAAATAATTCATCAATATTTGAAATAAAATGGAATTTCAAAATTTTCAAATGCCAGTCAGGTGTCAGAATATTCTAGAACCAAACCGAGGTTGAATTCAAATACGGACCCAAAGGTGAACGAATCGAAGCTGTCATTGGATCTCAACAGTACACTAGCCCTTAGTACTCTTTTAATTAATATTATTTATCTTTTTTTTTTATTTTGAGTCAAGTGGTTCATACAATTTTATTATAATAAAATGGAAGGAAACGGCGAACATAGTTCGTGGTCAGATTTATTAAATTCTGTATCTACCGAGAATGGTATGTATTCTAACCTTTCTTATTTAGCGCGAATTATGAAAAATTTTTACAGCTCTTTTCTCTGTTATCAGAAAGTAATACTGATTCGGCAAATAGTACTAATAATCAGCCAGAAATGCCTTCAGATGATCAGCAAATCATTGAAAGATCTGTCTCTTCTCGTAGTCTAATTATGCAAGGTTTTCTTCAACAAGTATGCACAATGTTCGAAGACGATCCTGTTAAAAGGAATAAACTGTATTTTGGTATATGATTGACAGTAGTAAATATTATTAATTTGATAATAATCTCATCTTAATACTCTTAATTGTCAATAATGATTTAAATTGTAGATATCTGTGATAAACTACATGCAATGAAACTAATTGATAAGTCGTACGATATGGATGAGTTCGAAAATTTAAGAGGACAGTGCCAGAGAATACTTTACAACCTTGTGTCAGGAAGCAGAAAAGCTACAGGTTGTGGGACAATAGTGTCAAATCCAAAGTAAGAATTTATATAACCAGAGTAGTCGCTAAATAGAATATTTGAACACGAATTAACAAAATGTATGATAGAAAGTTTAAGTGGTGCACTTTCGTTTAACTCAGTTGACTCGATGCTTGTAGCTGAAGGGTATTTTTTTGAAAACTGAATTACTTAAATATTATATTATAATGCGCACATTTCACTTACGAAATCATTTTAAATTGTTCAGGAAGAGAATAATGGAAAAGAGAAAAATTTCCAAGTGTAAAATGAAGGTTAAAGTTTAACTGTCAAACAATGCTATTTTCTAAGTGTGTCATATGAACTATCTTTTTACTGGTAGTTAAAATATGAATAAGAAATGTAAAAGTTGTAACTGATATATCCTCTAAAATTACAGTGAAATTGATCTTGAAGTTAAATTTACTTATAATCGTGTCTGCATAATATTACACGTTCGTGATCGGAAGAGAAAATTTTCATGAATGATCACTGAGGTGAAAAATTTTAATGTAATTTTAATGACCTCTTTTATAGGACTTTAGCCAATCAGTCACGATACAGAGATGAATTTGAGGAACTCGATTATTTGGCTTCTGGAGGTTTCGGTCATGTATTTAAAGCTCGACATCGTTTGGATAAAAATGAATATGCCATTAAAAAAATCTGTGTATCATCAGGGAAAATAGATGAAATTTTGAAACATTTAGAAGAAGTTGAAAAATTAGCCAAACTAAATCATCCAAATATTGTATCGTATAAAGGTGCATGGATTGAAGAAGGTCCTCCGGTAACTAGGGTACCTTGTCTTTTACAAATGGGTAGATCAAACAGTAGAAGCTCTAACAAAACAAGGTCGATTAAAAAACAATTAGAAACTTCAAATTCAGATAGAAATAGTTTAAAATCTATTCAAGCTCGTTCAAAAGAATGTGAACAGAAATCATCATTTTTCAGTATTTTAGAAACAAATAATAAGATGGGTACGTATTTATCGGATGAAAAAGAAAAACACAGCCAACAGAACAGTGGAACGGGTATTTTAAGTAGTCATGACATTGTAAGTGAAAGATTTCAACAACTCAATTCGACCACTACTATTATAGGCAGAAGAATCGAGGAACAAATAAGTTCTAGTGTTGTAGCAGAAGTCAGCTCAGATATAGTGTCATTTAGAAACGAAGAAAACGGATTGAATGAAGGCCAAAATAATACCTCTACAAGTAGTGACATTGAAGAAATGGATTCTAGTGATGAGGCTGGAGAAAGTGAATGGAATCAAGAATCTTCTAGTCGTCAAGTTTGTGAATATAACTTATCAACGGTAAAAATTCATTTGTGTGTAGTATAAATATTTCATTATGTATCATAACATTTATTTATATATTGTACAAATGATTACCTTTTTGAACCAGAATCAGGCCACTTTGTACATTCAAATGGCTCTTTGCGAACAAACATTACGTCAGTGGTTGGATGAGAGGCAGGAAAGTACGTCAATATCAACGATAACTGCGATTCTAATGCAAATCCTTAACGGATTAGATTACATCCATTCAAATAGTATCGTTCATCACGACATTAAAGTAAGTATAGTTGGTTGAAATTGATAATAGTGTTAATGCAAGAATATTGATTTAATAAATAATTTATTACCTGCATTTTTTAGCCAAGTAATATATTCATTTCTCCATCTCGGCAACTTCATGTTCAACTAGGAGATTTTGGCTTGGCTTGTCTGCCTAAACACAAAAACTGCCATCCAATCGTAGGTACTCACCTGTATGCGGCACCTGAACAATTGAAAGGATTATGTGATCCAAAGGTACAATATTTTATATAATTTTCATTCAATTTTAAGAATAGAAAATTGATGATGTTACGATCAATTTGAGAATAATTGACCTAAAGTTAACGTCGATTAAATGTCATAATGTAGAATATATTTTTAAAAATTCTACGTTAATTTAATTCGCTACGGCATTAGAACTATTATATAAATTATAATATAACATAATGAGACTATAAATTGTTAAATTATGTAATCAATAATTCTTTGCTGTATGGTAAAATATATTAATCAATTCCAATAATTATTTTCAGAGTGATGTATATAGTATGGGTATTGTTTTACTGGAACTTCTAGTACCTACACGAACACAACATGAACGTATTACTACCATTGATCTCTTATTAAAAGCTGGAAAAATTCCAGATGCGCTTTATGTTCATTGTCCGAAGTGGGTAAGTTAAGTTTTAAAATGAATATGAAATTTCTTATTCTTATTTAAAACTTTTTTTTAACGGGTTCATTCATTTTATAGATCGAGATGATTAAGGCACTCGTTGATAAAGATCCTGCCCGTCGACCATCGACAAAAGAACTGTTACAGAATCTCAGTGAAGATAAAGACATGATCATAGCTAAATTGAAGAATGATAATAAAAAAAAAGATGAAATAATTTGTAAGTTACAACATACAATTAAGGAACTACAAGATAAAATATCGAAATATGAATCCACTGTGAATGCAGAAACAACATCAAAATCATGCTGTGAGCCAGAATAATAACTTTTCTGTTAGAAAGTTAATCAATTTTAAATTAATAGATCTTTTTAAAAATTATACATTTCATCTTTTATCATATTTAATTTTTAATTCTTTACATCGGACAATTTACTTAAGTATAAAAGTAATGATGCCAGTAATGACTCATAATTGTACATAATATGACTATAGAATAGTTGATGTTTGAATTTGATATATCAGTATATCATAGTATTACAAAGACTAAATTTTTTGTAAACATTTAAGTTCCTTAATTACTTGTACAGAACTTATTGATCAAAGAAATATTTCTATTTTAACGCAATTTGTTTTTTATTCAACTTTTTATAAAAAATAAATTTTATGAAAACATATTTCGTTCTTTTAATTGACATTGATATGTGTAATATTAAGTTTTAGTATTATTTCTTCTAATAATTTTTTTAACTTAATTCCAGCACTTATTCTTGACTCCTCGGTTTTCGGTGAAACGCATTCATTAAGTAATTTTTGGAAATTTGGATGGTCATTAAGAACCTTTTCAGGAGTACTATGCAAAAATCCATCAAAATCAGAATTTATATTAGACTTAGATGCCAATATGTTCTGAAAAAAAATAATTGAAAAAAATAAGGAAACGAATATTAGTGTTTAATCATTCAAATTGAACTAACTTGGCATGTGGCGAAGTAATTATGATCACTAAGAGAATGACTGCATATATCAATAGGTGAAAATGAAAAGCAATCGTCACAATTAATTATATTCTCACTTCGGTGTAGATGATACCAATTCGTTGGTTTTTCTGAAAAATTTTAAATCATATTTTTTGAACCGTTATAATTTTTCCATTTTAAAATAGAATATTTATGATATTATTGCACCTTTTTCAGATATATTACGATTCAAAATAATAACATTTTCCAAGTCAATAAATTTTGGAGCATCATTTTGATCAATAGCAATATTATCAGATGATAAATCTGTTAAATAAAATGAAAAATCGTGGTTGTGGAATGTAAACATGTAAGCAGCTTCTAATAAATTTATTGCTATCCTGGCTCTACGATACCACGGCTTATTATAATATGTTGTTAAAGGCGGACCAACATATTCTTCTATGACTACTCTTCCACAAGCTCCATAGTATTTGGCAACGGGCCATCCTTCATCTGCTTGCAGAATCTAATCATTCAAATTTTTACTTTAAATATTTGAAGAATTTTACGAAAATGCATTCAAAATACCTGTAGAATCAGTGGCTCTGGATTGATTTTAATCAAAGTCCATAAATGAATTTCATTCATTTTCAATTGACTTATAACTTGTTCTAAATGTGAAGTAGTTGGACATAAAACTAATCCACTTTCATCATCTTCAAAAAACTTGGGAGAAACAGCAGTTTCAATTTTACCCAGAAAATCAATATTATAATTAGAGTTTACTTCATTGTTATAATTTTGATCTTTTCTACAGAATTTTTTGAATTCAATACTCTGACAAAGCATATCATCAAAAGCATCAAGTTCATAAGAATGTGCTAACTTTTTGATAGCTACTCTAGTTCCGTTGATGGTACCATAAAAAACATTTTTTCTGTTAAATAAATGTGATAAAAGAGAATGAAAATCAAAAGGATGTATCATCAAATTTTCATTGAAAATGTGATCACAAGCCGTCGTTCCGTAACAAATAGGACATGTTGAAAGCTCTACTAGATCCACCACTTGTGGAGATAAAAAATTGAATGTTCTATTTGTGATAATTGATAGTGTTACAAATAAAATAAAATATAACAAACTATTGATTCGGAATCTACTATGAAACCAGAAACACATTGATTCAACAAAATAAATATTTAAAAAACTAACTTTTTACAATTTGTTGATATTTACATTCATAATAAAGGATGAATGAATAAGTCTTAAAATAAATAGTATGTAGATATGCAGCTGAATAGAGAGAATGGAACTCTTTTGTTTCAATCAAAACACATTATCAAAGGGATCTGTTTTATTAAGGATAATATTCTGCAAATTCAATTATATCACAAGTTAAAGATACAATGCGTAGTAATATCATTAGAATGTAAAATATGGGTTTTGATGCATGGTACAAAAGCTAATGACTCAAATTCGATCACATAACTCTCTTGTTAATACTGATAATAGTATTAGAGTTAATGAGTTTAAAGCTTTAGATTAAACTCTATTACTTCTCTGTTTGTATTTTTTAAAATTAAACTAATTATCTAATATCCAGTGCGCATTATTATTACATAATGTTGTAAATAAATTAGTTTGAAAACACTGAATCCAATACAAAGCTTATATTACATTATCGACTATGAAAAAGGTTGTAACCTGTAACTTTATTACAAATATTTTCAAAATTATTTTTTATCAATCATGGAATTTTTATACTACAATGAACTGATTTAGCTTCTTTCATTTGTTTAGAATTTCTTCTTACTTTTTTCGGAAATTAATGTTCTGGTTTCTGTCAAGTCTCTAAATACAAAGATTTCATCATCAGAAATGTATTTTAATTTTTTAGAGATTGAAATAAGTTATATACTATTTAATTAAAAGCAGTAGATTAATAAAATAAACTCAAGATGAACTTTCTACGACTGATTATTTACACGATAAATTTTTTTTCAAAATAACGACACGTGTGAAGTTCAGTGACCTATATGATATTTGTAAACAAATAGCTGTATCTTAGAAACAAATTGATTACTTGGCACAAATGTTTTTTTTTAAAAATAAATCAGCAAAAAACATTGCAAGTCACTAACTATTCACTGATAAATGTTGCTAAGATTACCACTGATTCAATTGATGGCCAGCTTTGTAAATCATTTATAAGACTTTTTACAACAATACAGTTTCACATATGTATATACATATACCAATTTGAACTTATCAAATGTTGGATATTAAAAAAAATATAAAATTATTATTATCAACATTATGCATGTAAAAAAAGAAATGTTTGTTTTCAAATTTCAAATGATAATATTATATCATCAGGATTAAGCTCCAAAAATTACTCTGTTCTAATATAAATATTACACTTGCTATTAATTAAAAACATAAATAAGCTCATGTTTATGGAATAAAACAACCTTCATTTCACATCTTTTAATTATAGTCTTCTGAATAATACAAAGTTTACAATTGCAGTCTAAAATAATTTTCAAAAAGAACTCCTTTTTATATTTCATATAATATACGTCTCTAGTAGCAATAAAAGCTTATTTGATTCTGAGAAATGTCATATCTTAGCACTAAAGAAGTATATCGTGAAAATTTCCAAGTTTTAATTATATTCATTGTACTGTGATAATTCAAATTTTATATAAAAGAAACTTTATCACAAAGTTTATTCTCTTTCTCGAAAATATTTCTTTGTAATTTTATCATTAATATGTTATTTATTAATTCATATATGTATATACAGCGATGTTAATAAGTAAGTTTCATTGTGAAATACTGTGCTAAAGGTATTCTGCAAGGCTGAAATATGAACTTAGCATGCTGAACAATATGAGGGAAATCTATAGAAGTGTTTGGAAAGATTTAACTGTGTGAGAAATGAGAATTCGTGCGAGAATTTACGGAAGTTTCTTGAATTTTCGTCAACTTGTCCATTTTAGAGAATGACATGCTCATTATTTTGTAGAAATTACGAATAAATTAATGTTCATTACATTCTACTAAATCAAAACAACTATTTATAATTTTGTTTTCACAATTTGAAAAATATTTTTTTATTATTTTAATAATTTTATTTTAATTAGGTCAAATTATTATTAATCATTTTTCAAAAACAGAGGTGATTTTAAATTTATTTATTCACGTTTTCGTATAAAATGAAGCCTAAACCACCAGCTCCATCACCTCCTCTCCCAATAGAGGTGTGGGGCCAGATTTTTGAGAAAATAGATAGTCCACTTGATCTTATGAGAGCTAGAAGAGTTTGTAAAAGATGGAATGAAGAAATAAACAGAGTTTTGCCATTCGCCAATTGGAAGAAACTATGCTTCAGAGAAATCGGAGTATTTTCATTGTCTTCTATTGCAGCAGTGGTACAACCCACATTACCAAAAGCTAATTATAGAGAAATTGAGGATCAGAATTTTTGGCGTGATGTGTATTATCATTATAAAAAGTGGTTAAAAATTACGAAGTTACCTATTCAGACAGCTTCACCATCAAATAAGCTATTATTATCTAATCATGAACACATTACATGTTTTGATACCTGGGGTAAGAATTATTATATATGCTTTACATATTCATTTAAAATATGTAAAAATTTTAAGTAATGTAATTCTATACATGGGAAAAAGAAATTATAAACTTTGGAGTAATATTACTGCAACATGTCACTTCGAATCATAATATTGCATTTAAAAGTATTCAGAAATTCACTTTTAATTAAAAGAGAATACAAATTGATTTTGGAATAAAATTTAGTATATACTTTAATTGTAATATTTAATATTTATTTTTTTAGAATTTTTTCAATAATTTTGTTGCATAATGACTTTGTTGATGAAACGAATTTATGTTTTCTAGTTGGAAATGACTTTTTATAATTTTCTTTTTCCATGTAACAGAATATATTCCACTGTGTCAGCAATGTATTCTAGAATTTGCAATTCTCCATTGGAATAAAAATGTATCTCACAACATATAAGAAAAGTGTATGACTTTTTGGAGCAATATATTTGCTCATATCAAGAATGTACTTCTAAGATAAACTTTTTTTCAAATGGGTTTTTGATATTACGATACTTATTATTTCCGACATATAATTATCTGATCATAATAAAATATGTTTGTGTCACCTGAGGTGTTTGGACTATGTATGGATCGAATATCGGTAGAATATATATTCTAGAAGATGATGGACACAGAAAACGTCGTCGTGCTATAGATCTTCATGGACCAATAGATGAAGTTAAAATTTGGCATAGTGGTAAGTTTAATTCATTGTTTGTGTATAAAATTAATTTCTTTATCGATCACTTCTTGCATAAACTTATCAAACAAACTATTAATATTGCTTCTAGATAATGATCAATTTTTATTTTTTGCGGTAACACAACTCAAAACTATTCATATTGGATACCCACAAATTAATATTACTTTGAGAGGACATAAAGTATGGTAATATATATTTATTTCTTCTATAACAATGCTTCAAAAATGACCATTGTTTGTTACTTAAATAAGTTCTTTAATAAATTTTTAGTACTGGAACGGCAAATAATTTATACTATATGCAGGATAATATTCTTATAAAGCTTAAACCAACGCCACCGACTGTAGGTGTTACATTGACGATAACTTTGAATTTTAATCTAGATGAACAAATCGTCGCTATAAGTTCACGAGAATCAAAGGTAAGACAAATATCGAATTATTTAACTGAATTTTTATAGGAATAACAATATTGTATTATTTTGTTTTACATTTATAACAGATTTTCTTAGTGGTTCAAGCTGAGGCACAATTGAGAATATTCACGATAGAAGATGAATCACTTAGGAAAGAAGAACCAATGTTTCAAGTTCTATCTATTGTGGAGGTTCCATCATTGCCTGTGGTTTCTCCGAATATGCGTATTTATGTTACTTTGAACAGTACCATAATATGCCTAATAAGTAAGTTTATGGTTTAAGATTCTCTCCAATTTACTGAAGAGTAAACCAGCTAGAATGTTGGTACTTTTGGTGACAGCTTGTAAGTCAGCGAGGAAATTAATAAATCATCGTATGATCACTTAGTCAAATTAGTCAAGTTAATTAGCAATTTACATAGAAACTTTTAGAATGTTTATAGTTTATGAAAAATAAGATGGCAACAGATGAAGGGAAACTGATAGATTGGACATTGGTTTCTTCCAAAATTGATTAATAAACATATTTATTTAAAAATATGGTAAAAAATAAATTAAAGAATACACTTCATTCATTGTGATTAACAAAAAGATCTTTTTGAGCAAAAAAAGACAATTTTGAATCTGTTGATTTTATTATTAATTTGTTAAACATCATAAATATTAGTTTCGTTTGATTTAATTTAAGTGAAGCTAATCTATCATTTATTTTTATAACTATTATTTAATTTGATTAAATTTTTATGTATTACTATGTTACAGATGAAAATATGTATTTGCATACTCCAGAAACAGATTTCTGGGTGATCCATGATCAGTCAAAGTATTTTGAAGCTAAGGTGACGTCCCTAATTGTGCATGGGAATTATTTAATATTAGGATTATCAAATGGTAAACAAACAAAATTTTAAATTGAATTCTTTCATCGCGAATAGATTAGTCATTTCTTCAAACAATTAAATCAAAAGTTTGTTATAACTCATTAAAAATATTGATCGGATTAGTTCATAATAAAGGACAAAAACGAAGTATTATTTTTCTATGAAAACAAACGTCAACTACTTTACTAGATGTTTTACGAAGAAAACCAACGTTAGTTTAGCAGAATTTCTTACTATAAGAGTCTCCTTCCATGTTACTTACAGTCTTTAAAAAAAACTGCAACAACTTTGTCTTTTGTTGCATCAACTAATTTCCATTGATTAACGACTGTGAGATCAGTTTTCTGACATGATTATCGATTCAGTAAATTTAAAAAAAAATAAGAACATGTGAATTAACATTCTAAACTGATACACAAAACTGTCAGCATATCAATATAATTTAGCTTACTATATCATCATTATTTTTGCAGGAACTTTGTCCATGTACTATGTTGAAGGAACCGATAACTTACTCAACCCTAATTTATTTGGAAAACAACCAGTTATAACGCGTAAGCTTAATTCATTACCCATCATCGCCATCAAAGTAGCTGATGTTCATGGAAATATACACATTACAGTATTCAGCCCAATGAACATGTTTACCTTAATATTTTAGCTATATTTTTTATACAGAATTTGTGTGTTGTTAGATAATGATATTTAATTGAACAAAAAGTATTTTATCAATAAACAAAACTTTATGTAACATAGAACTTGAGTCTTCATTACCGTAATACTTGTGCTTTTCGGTTTTTTAGTGATATTAATTTTTTAATTAAGAATTTTTGTGATAAACGATTATTGTTAAAGAGTTAATGAGGATAAAATCAAAAAATTGCATTTGAAAATCAAAAAGAAATTTTTCTGCTTGGATAATTTATGCAACAACATCCAGAAGTTTCTTGAGTAATCGTGATCTGTTTTAAATAATGATGATTTTGTCATTACAAAATTAAAATTATCTTCCTACTATTTTGTTATTTGAATATTAATTATTTTTAAGTATTATTATGTGAGTGCGTAAAAAACAGAGGTGATTTTAAGTTTATTTATTCATGTTTTCGTATAAAATGAAGCTTAAACCACCAGCTCCAACACCTCCTCTTCCAATAGAGGTGTGGGGCCAGATTTTTGAGAAAATGGATAATCCACTTGATCTTATGAGAGCTAAAAGAGTTTGTAAAAGATGGAATGAAGAAATAAACAGAGTGTTGCCATTTGCCAATTGGAAAAAATTATGTTTAACAGAAATCAGAGCATCTTCATTATCTTCTATCATAGCTGTTGTACAGCCCACGTTACCAAAAGCTAATTATCGAGAAATTGAGGATCAGAATTTTTGGCGTGATGTGTATTATCATTATAAAAAGTGGTCAAGCATTAAGGAGTTACCCATGAGGATATTTAGACCAAAAAGTGATCTATTGTTATTTATTGATGAATATATTACATGTTTTGATACCTGGGGTAAGAACTCCTGTATGAAAAAAAATAAGTATATTTACATATGAATACAATGCAAACTTTGAATTTTGCAGTGATTCTACCATAGCACCATGCTTTGAATTGAAATACTGTAAGAAGTCATTTTTAATTCAGAGACATTACAAATTTGTCTTACAAAATAAACAAGCTCATTGTGTACTGTGATACATAGTACTATTCATTATCTATTCATTCTACAGTTTACAACTTTAGTGTACAATGAGCTTGTTTACATGACAAATTTATTTTGTCTCCTAATTAAAAATGACTTCTTACAATTTTCTCCTTCAAAGTAGCATGCTCCAGTGATATCATTGTAAAATGTATAATTTCTGATCATATTCCAAAAAGTACTTCACTATTTTAGCGAATATATTTTGGATTTTATGATTTTTTAAGAATAAATTTCTTAACATTTTCATAAGAATATATTTTAAAATATAAAATAAAAATGCCTAGAAGATCTATGATTCTTTGCTGCAATATATTTGTCTATATTGAAGCTACATATTTAGAATAGATTTATTTTTGGGAGTGTTAATATTAAAAAATATTTATTTTTACTTATAATTTCATTAATATTAATTAATATTTTTGTATCATATCAGATGGTTGGATCAGTTATGGAACCAGTTATGGTAAAATACATATTTTTGAAAACTTTGAATATCAGAGACCTTATCATGTTCTAAACTGTCCCGATCGAATTAAAGAAGTTAAATTTTGGTATAATGGTTCGTTTAATATATTAATTATTTCTTTTCGTATGAATTTATAAAACTAATTATTGACATTGATTTTAGATAATAATATCTTATTTTTCTTGGCGTTAACACAAGACCAAATGATAAGAATTTGGAACTTGGCAAACAAAAAAGCATCCAACTTCATTTTAGTTGGATATAAAATATGGTAATAATTTTTTTTGTTCAATAAAAATGTTCCAAAATGTTTTGAATTATTTTTTCTTAGTGTTGGAACGGCGAATAATTTATACACTATGCATAATAATTTTATTATGAGGATTCAATCAACACCGCAAAATGTAAGTATTAAGTCAATGGAAAGATTGAACTTGATCTCAGGAGAAATGGTAGTCGCTATGAGTTCACGAGAATCAAAAGTAAGATAAATTTCTACCAAATTTCTAATTATTCAAACAAATTATAATAAAACTGATAAATTATTTTTTTTGTATTCATGACAGATTTTTCTAGTGACTCAAGCTGAGTGGCAATTAAGGGTATTTACATTGGAAGATGAATCATTGACAAAGCAACAACCAACGTTTCAAATTCAATCTATTTTTACAATTCCATCGTTGCCTATGATTCCCTCAACTCTCCGCATTTATGTTACACTAAACAGAACTATAATATGTCTACAAAGTAAGTATATAGTTACTAACTACTCTTCTGTTTTTTTTTTTCCAACTACTAACAGCCTATATTAGGGGTTTCAAAAGTTAAATGGATCATATTTGGAACTTCACATCAGGGTTGGATTGGTACTTTCATGAATTAAAATATGAGCTCTATTAATGTTTACTTCAAAAAAGAAATTCATTCAATTTATTCTCATTCGTTGTTTTCATTTCAATGGAGAAAGTCTCTTTTTAGTGATCAAAATATTAAGTAGCTCAATTCCAGTATTAATGACATAATTAATAATGAATATCAGTTGATCATAATATTTTGTAGCAATTTTATTATTAATAATTCAAATAATAGTATTGTTAATGAATATTCGTATTATTGACCATAGATTAATAAGTGAACTTGATAGTTAATTTCAAATACTCCAAGTAATAAATCAAATTGATTTTTGATGCCATTATTTGAGTTAATTCAATTTCAATAATTAATAGTTACATACTTTAGATAATTTAAATAAAGCTAATCCATCATTTATCTTTAAAACTATCATGTAATTTGATTAAATAAATATGTATTATTTTATTACAGAACAACATATGTGTTTGCATACTCCAAAAACAGATTTCTGGATGATCCATAATAACCCAATGTACTTTAATGCTAATGTGACGTCCCTAATTGTGCATGGGAATTATTTAATAATAGGATTATCAAATGGTAAATTTCAGAGCTTATTACAAACTATTATATTTATTAATATAAATTATACAACAACATCAGCTTAGAATGCAAATTTATTAACACTGATATTTGTTTTCAAATTAAAAAAAAAATCTTCTGTTGAAGCTTTTAAAGACTTGATTGATAATCAATCATGTTTAAGATCATTCACTTTAATAATCAAGCTATAAATGTCATTCAAAATTATCTCAATTGCTGATAATTTTATTGAGTGTGACAGATCAGTTCAATGTGTCAAAAAAAATTGCAAAGAAGAAAGCAATTATAATTATTGTTACCAGATTTTAATAAATTTCTATTATACTACTACTACTTTTTCGATTCAATAGATTCTTTATAAATTGAATATAATAATCATTCTTTTTAAAAATCAGAATAAAATTATTGTTTTATATGAAATACCTGACATCGTAGATTATGTTTATTACTGCAACAATTTTTTCTTCTGCTTCATCAACGATTTTTTTCTAACTAACCACTGTGAAAACAGTTTTCCAATATGTTTATCTGCACAGAAAATTGATAAAAAAATTAAAACATGCAAATTTGTATTCTAAATCCATTTAGATAATTGTCACAATGTTAGTATAACTATAGTAATAGTATAAACTATAACTTACAAGCTCACAATGCATTGTTATTTTTCCAGGAATTTTAGGCATGTACTATACTGAAGGAATCAGTGGTTTATTAAGTCCGAATCTACTCAGACGCCCACCAATTAAAATATATACTCTTGATATTTTACCCATCATTTCTATAAAAGTAACCGATCTTTGTGGTGTAATACACATTATAGCATTTAACTGTAAGGATATGTTTATCATAACGTTTTAGTTTTTTATTTTATCCAGATAATAATAGTGAATTTTTTGATAAATATGAAATGATTTCATCAAGAAATAAAACTACTTGTGTGACATAACACTCGAGTCTACGTCCATTTTCACGAAACTTAATATTTTCTCCATTATTAAGTTATATACTCAAACCAAAGTTATTTTGATGTTTTATTTTATTTTGTACTTGTGATCAAATTAGATGTGTCGAAGTAACGTCAGTTATTTTATTATCGACACAAAGTTACATCAACAAAACTTTTTATCTTAGTTTAAACGTCGTTTCTATCGGTTTTCGTCGATACAATTCGTCGACTCAACTTATAGGTTATATAGAATCTATAAAGAAGAGAACGCTCAAGCAATTCTTTTGTCAAGTAATCAAATGTTTACTTTATATAACTGCAGATAAATCTGCAGACACTGTCTTACTAAACTCTACTGAAGTAATTGAAATCACTGAAAAGTGATTTTGACAAACGTACAATTTATTTTAAATTATTTCTAATAAATTTTATGTCATGTTGGATTTTTTCACGTCTATGCTAATTTTTAAAAATATTGTGTTGCTGCAGAAGACTTAAACTTTATCCAAGAACCAGTCACTATTTTACATAGTTTATGCATTAAAAATCTGTTTTGACTAAATAAGTAACGTCAAGAAGAAGAAGCATTGAAACATAATACAAAAAAAAGGAGTTTTCTTTGTCTTCGTAATTAAAATAAATCATTCATCTGTGATGTTTTTTTTTAATCATCAATAGAAAGATGCTCATTGATGGTATTTATAATGAACCTATTCAATGATAATTATGATGTATATTGATAAGAGCGTAAATAAAAAAGTATTCTATATGAGTAATTAATGAAGATTGATGATTAACAGATGATGGCAATGCTTGCCATAGAAGTGTTCATTAATTCATCAATGAAATTGATTAACTATTTCTGGCCATAATGGAAAGTAGATGTATTTTGAATCTGGTCAGATAAAAAATTCATTACATTTTATTACTCTGGGATTCACTTTGATCGATTAATTAAATTAATTTATAATGATAACAAGATTAAAAAGCGATTGGCATTTGAAATGGATTAAAAAAGAATTTTAAACGATTATATTATCAAGAGAAACCTTCAAAAGTACAGAAATTGAATATTTTAATTATTATATTTTTGTGCAAGATGACATTTTGATAATTCTACTTTTGGAATGATTTGTTATATTTAAATACCAGGAAAATATTCAATAATTTTATTTTAAAAGAATATTTGATGCTATTCCGGATGAAACCAAGTCGATGATGAACCACTGGAAGCTTTGCTTCCTAGACTCCTAAATGTTATTTTATTGAAATGGATGAAGTCCTATGAACTTCCTTTATTGGAGATATCACAATAGAGTTATGTGGGTTGAACAAACTTCCGTATAGTGCATTCTATGACAAACTTTGGAATTTCTACAATATTTTTACTGAGGCAGAACTTGTTGAATGATTACCAGTAGATATGGTCACATATCCTAAGAGTGATGAAACGTTCAATTGTATAACAGTATGGAATCGAATAAAAGTAAAAATGAAATAGTCTCTAATGACAATCCACTATGTCAATGAATAGTCAATGAATTGTTAATCAATGAACAAGAGAATTACAACAAATGAGTAGTTTTTGAGCGATGCAACGTATTGTGTTAATGAAGATTTAAATAATGAAGTGTAAAAAAATTATATAAATGGATATCCTGCTTACCATGCTGAAAAAGGATGACGTAATAAGACAGTAATTAGCAGACTGATCAAACTTCAGTTTTCAACTTATAAGGTAAGCTTTTTATTTTTTCCTTTCTTCTTAGACCAAATCCTACATTATATCTAAAAGTGTATAGGGACGTTTTTTAATTGAGCCATTTTTGTCATGAGGATTTTTAATTTATCGTCAGTCTGATTTATTTACTGTAAAGTAAAAGAAGTTAGATGGATTAAATGTCATAAAGTTAACTTTATTGAGGGAAAAAGTATCCAAGATTTGGCAATACAATGCTGATATTATTCAGCTCTAATATATAGCAAGTCGATGACTCCTATGATAAATAATATTGAAAAAGGAACAGATAGAAATTTAGTTAGATTCGAATAAGGAACAAAAAAGGAAATAAAAAAAAAAAATAACAAATTAATCATCTAATTCATTAAATATTAGTTTTTTCTTCTAAAATTTTATTTAACGATCTTCCCGTAAGGCTAACGGCCGTAAAAGCTATTGAATTTATTGTGGAGAACTGGAGACCTCAAGGAAAAGGTTTATTAGTATGTGAGCTTCATTTCTATTATTGTCATGAACACCTGCAGCATTCTGCATAATTACCACTTTGTTTGTCCCAATTGTGTCTCAATTCTGGATCTTTATTAGATGTGAAGATGCTCCTCATTAATATATATAACAGACATTCACTTTTATATACTCAGAAAAATGATTCTGCATAATAGGAATGCATAAAACGTTGAAATATTATGCAACTTTTCATACCATCATAGAACATAATCAACTAATGACTGAAGTTTATTTATTCTACATGATGATTATGAACGAAAAAAGTTTTTATTTGATAATTAAAATATTGAATTACTGCAATCGATTTAAAAACTATTTATGCAAAAATTTTAATTTCCGGTAGATTTATAAAATCTATAGACATAATGAATTGAGTGGTATAGACATAGCAGTATAAAAATATGCTGAACAGGGATGTGGCTGCAGGCTGTAGGATAATTCATACTTTAAACACTATATTTTAATAATTACTATTTATAATTTCATTTAAATTTTAGATAGAAAATAATAGTCTCTATTTACAAATTTCCATCTTGCTTCTGTTGCTGAAGATTGATCTTGCTCCATTTACATATTTTTCCTGTAGATCCAACAAGAATTGAAACTGTTGCAATAACAAGCTTTCAATCTATTGCAGTAACAGAATATTTTTTCAGAGTAGTTGAAAATCTGGGTGTGACGAATAGTTTATTACTTTTATTTATAAATATCGTGTTTATTAAATAACTGTTTTTATCTCCAATGTCCACTAATATAGTATAACACAGATTTCAACTGTTTTCGTTCTATTTTTATCGATTTAAATTGTCTGAATAAATCTTTTAAAAGGTATAAAAAGATTACATCTTTTTTTTTACTTTAAAACCAAATATGGCAAAAATTCTGCTCCATCAGATTATTTTCATCTGGTAGCAAAAATTTTATTTTTTAGCAAAAAAAACCTACTTCACTATTGTTATTTTTAAATCTTTATAAATCGTAAAAACGTCGTTAAAACAATCAAATTTTTGACGGAAATATTTTTCAGCAATTTTTGCATTAAAGTTATATCCATCAATAGCGAGGTCTTTATATTCTCTTCAATTAGATAATAAAGTCCAGGTTGATTTGAAAGGTTCTTTGAAAAAACAATATTATTAGCACGGAATTTAATCAAATGTAAAACATAAAAAATGTTTATTTTAATAAAAGTAATATTTGTTGATGAAAGAACAAAATAAACTTTACCAACAAAATGGAAAGAGAATTTTTTTATTATCATCAGATATGAAATTTGATTTTATCCAGAATGCTCTTCTTGACGCCAAGCCCATTCCGATTGGTAAACAATTTGATATTTATGCATTCAGCAAGTCGTATTGTAAATATGAAACCCTCTCAACTACTATTACCATTTCTATGGGCAAACGCGAGTGGCATTCGTGGAGGTAGCTCTTGAGCTGCAAGTTTTATTGCAAGCCCGGTTTTATTTTCAGGAAACACCATGATTTATTTATTTATTTATTCTACTTTGTCGATTCAGCAGACACGAGAGCTTCTATACATTTTGTTATATCAGTGTTAATGCATGTTCATCAATATTTATCACACATCTCGCGGTTGTTATCAATAATTACTCAATGAATATGATGACGCGTCAAGCAAACTAGGCCGAACGTCAAAGTTCGACAGAAAATAAAAATAATTTAATAAAAATCGATTTATTAAAAATATATTTTTATTTTTACTGATTCATTAAAAATTTTCGCCTTGAATATCTTGTGAAATTAGAAACTGATAAATTATAAATATTATTCATAGAATTTATCAATTTCTTCTGATAAATATTTATTATAAATTCATTGTTAATTCATCGAATCACTGTATATCGAATGATTTGAACAATCTGTAGAACCTTGTTCACCTGGATTGACACCGTCGATTATTCAAATCTAAAGCTTATTCATGCTTTCATGCCATTGAATCAATCGACCATTACAATCGGTAATTATACCTTTCAGGAATATCAGCATATCGATGTAATAGATTTTATTAAATCATAAATGTATCGACCTATTTATTCATATACGCAATATTATCTCCAGAGTATCATGGTGATTTTGAAATTAACTTCAACTTCAGTGAATAAATCGTTGACCTAAAGTTTATCCAAGTTTTTTAGTTATTAAGTTGAACAATTATTTACGGCAACTCATTTCAGTAAGGTGTTGAAAAATTATAAGTTTTACAGAAAAGTTCATAATAAATGAAAAAAAAAAAAAAATAGTGTCACATAATATATGGACAGAGATTGATGCAATAAAACAACTTTCAGAGTTTTAATGAGATTTATATTTTCTAGTTGTTTATGAAATGTTGTACACTGTGATAAGATAATTAATTAACTTTGTTTATATATATTTTTTGTTATAAAAGAGAAAAAAATTGTCTGAAATAAAGTTAAGAGAATTTTATTCAGCTTAATATAAATTTTACTAAAGTTTTCAAGTTTCTTAATACTTGAAAGTATTAGAATAAGTAATTTCAGGGTCTTAGTTCTCGCTGATGTTTCTTCTATGAAATTCTTTGATATCCAATAACCATTTAAATCTTCTGTTAAGGTTCAAATTTTGCTAGTGAGAGTTTTGATGAGATTAATATTAAGAAGGGGAGCAAAATTGTATTCAGAATAATATATTAGTGATTATATTAAATTAAAACAATTTAATAATATAAATCTATGACAGTTTAAGATAATATATAAAATAGTAAATGACAACGGCATATAATTAAATTTGAAAAAAGGATGAAAATTCGAGTTGAGCAACTAATAAAATTTCCAACCAGAACGAACAAGAAAAGGGTCATAGAACGACAGTTTTCCGTGTCACGAATGAAAGATAGAAACGTGCTCAGAAAAATGCCGCTAAAAAATTCTATCTCTAATCTAATTTAAAGGTCACCTAACTTTTTGTTTTTAACACCGAACCATTTAAAACTCATGAGCATAATAAAATTGATAATTACAACTAAACATATTACTCTGTAGAGAATTTTATATTTTTTATTAACTCAATTAAACTGTCCGAGAATTTTAATCAACATGAGTTATATCTCATAAAATTAATGATGAGTAAGAAACCTGATAGATAAATTATGCTAATTTGTAAAAAAATAATTTCACTATTTAGATTTACAGGGGAAAGTTGGTTTTAAATTTAAAAAGTCTGTTTTATTAATTTTACGATATTTTTGAAAGAAAATATTTAAATAGCTTCATAAAAGACAATTAATGGAAGCTAATTCTCTCTAGATCATCCCTTCTACGATATTGGAGTTATTTTTTTTCTTGCTGCTAAATTTACGACATTGAAAAAATTCTTGGAGTCAAAATTACTGTCATATTGTAGGTGAACCTGGAATAAGTCAGAGTTTGAATAATAATTAACTACTTTAAAGTAAAAGCAACTTTGTAATAAAATAACTTTTGAGCTTTTAAACTAAGTTCAACCCAAAAACTTTTACAATATTTATTAATCTTCGGCCTTACTGATCATAAGTACACTAGACAATAATCTGACACTTTGAAAGAGAATTAAACTCATCTGATTTACACTCATTTTGTTTAGATGGAAAAAGATTTTTAATTGAACATTTTCCATTCGTATTCAATATCAATTTGATTTTTCCAGCTAATGAAGTAAATAATGTTCATGAATGCAGCTCAAATTTATTATCAGGAATATCTGGGTATGAGGGAATACTTCAAATTTTATTATTCCAACTTTATTAATGAGTTAAAATAAATATAATGAAATGTAAAATTTCCTGGTGTTCTAGAAATTATAATGAGATTCCAATAAACATATTCTATTTGATAGAATATTATAATAAGCTTCATAGATTAACGTTATTGGGGTAAACTTGATTGAAATCTTTTATTTATTAAACCCATCGATTTTTCATTTTTCTAATTAACCTGTAATTATTTCTCTTAAAAGTAAAGCTTTATTTTCAACCCTTTTTCAACTGAAACATCTTATATTTTTTATTTTTTAAAGTTTCTTGATGGTTTAGCAGTTTTTCAAGTTCTTCTGAGTTTATTTCCCAAGTTTTCATTCAAAAAATTTCTTTTGTCTTTACAATGACTGCATTTCTCGCTGTATTGAGTTATAATCTGATCGTGACCCTTACAAGTAAGATAAAAGAGCCACTTCAATAACTCATCCACCAGACTGTAAGGATACGCTTCAACACGTTGCGTACTCAAACCCTTTCCCTCAGACAAAACTTAATTGAGTTTTTTTTCGTAATTATACAACTTTTTTATAATTACTTTTTACCACAGTGAAAAGTTGCATTCAACTGATCGCCAGACAGTATGAAAAATAAGAGAATACTATTTGTATGGAAAGAATTTTGTGATAAAGAAAATGAAAAAGTCTACGGACTGTGATATAGTTGAACGATTTCCACTTTGCGGATATTTATGCGGATGATTACCTAACAAGTTGATCGAGAATCAACGATATAACGGGAAGAGGCGTGTGGCCAAGTCCCACGAGCTCTCTACATGCACTTAGTAATATAAGATCCATGGTGCAGTCAAGAGAAAGAAACAAGCATTGCTATTCATTTTATAACTAGTGCATTTGGCCATCTTACTTTTCTGTAGTGCTACTATTATATTTTTAGTGATAAGGTTTTTTAACTTTGTTTGGAAATCATATTTTTGTTTTCCTTTTTTTTCTTTGAAACACAAAAGCTTTTAAGAAGTATTTTAAATTCGTAATTATAATAAATAATCTGTTAAGCTAGTTTTGGTAATCTACTTTACTGAAGATCTGAGGAAAGCAAGATGCCTTTTTTCAAGAAGCTGAGAATATTTTCACGACATAAAAGTGAGTTAGTTTAGTTGTTGTTTTTTTTTTTAAATAAACAAAATACTTTGAGATGTCAGGAAAACATTTTTATAATATTATCAAATTTGATTTAAATCAAATGTGTATAAGCTTGAGATAAACGGAATTTTCTAAACTCCAGTATGCATGTTTGTCTATTATATTTTCTCTTCTTTTTCTGACATTTTCGAGTATTCTTTTCGAGCAAAGTAGATCGAATTTTACTGCAGTTTCTGATTTTTCATCTTCAAAATATAGTCGTTCAAGTAAATTTAAGAATTTCATGAATGCTTATCTCTCTATTGCGACTTGTATAGACTGTATTATTACATTCGTCCTCCAGTGTATGTAAAAATTCAAGAACATACATTATTTTCTTTTAAACGCAGTGGAACATGGAAGAGATAAGAAAAGTTAGTAAGAATATTTTTTAAAATGGAAATAACAATTGAATGAATAATGTAGCATAGTGGATGGGTTTTTTTTTATAACAAAATGGTTACATTTCTCTTATTTGCAACTCCCTTGACGATAGTACAAGCACCAGATGAGAAAATTAAAATTGTTATAACAATTTCTGTACGTCTGACCACTCTGCAGCTTACCATTCAAACTTTTCTACTAATTTGAGATACAAGTCTGATTACATGGAATTTCATTTGTTCTACGACTCATGTAAGCTAATACAAAATTGATAAATTAATCAGCGGAGTAAACTTTTAATTAGAGCATAGTAATTGAAGCAATTTTAGCGATTATGTTAGACATGTGTTTGTGATTTTTCCATGCATTAGAAATGTGTAAAAAAATTTATAAAAGTTCAGAGTTTCTCTCAAACCAATTATTAAAGTTATACAAACTACAGTCGTTAAAACGACTTTCACGAGATCGACAGTTACATCACGTGCGCAAAGTAAGTAATTACTTTTTTTTTTAATCTGATTGTCTTTTTTTTTCATATCCCCCCTTTTTTCGATAGATAAACTTCTAATCAAGTTAAGATCAATCATGTAATTTCCTTTCACGTGAATGTTGTGTATATAAATTCCTATTTGAAACTTTGTCATCTCCTGATCAATTTGCATTCCAATTCATCTGAGGTTTTTTTTTCGTTGTTTGTATCTAGTTTTTACGAGTGTTACTGTTATGGATCAATTTATCTTGACTTGATGTTAACTTTCGAAGATTAGAAAAATTCAGTAGAAATGAAAAAATAACATTATTTTTTTATTATTAGATTTATAAATAAATTTAAAATGAATCAAAAGTATACTGGAATTAAATGAACGACTTTTGTTTTAAACATAGGCAATTTTTATGTTGATGTTTCGAGTTTAAATCATGAAAATAAATTGAACTTGAAAAAACCAATTATATTTACTCATGATTGCAGAATGAATTTTGAAAAATTTTCTGTAATTAAAAAATGTTCTACTTTGTGTAAAAAAATTTCATTTAAATTTTTATTTTTATAAAAAATTGTAACTTTTGCCTTTATTACTCGTTCTTCACTTAAAAATTATTATTTATTAAAACGAATAGTCTTAAAATTAAATAATACGAAATGAAGTAAAATTTAGATAAAACTGAATTAAGACTGGTGTAATCTATCTTCTCTCTAACTTCTTTTTGATTAAATTAAATCTAGTAAGATTTACGTCAAGAATTCCTTTTAAAAATATTTCTATTCAAAAAATTTCCCCCTGAAGAGGAGTCTCTTCTTTCAATATTAGAAATAAATATTGAAGAAGATGGTGCATTTATTCATTCAATATTAGTTAATCTTTTTTTATAAAAATTGCTTGACTTCCATAAAAAAAAAAAGATTGAAGCTTCATAGCACAGATACATATGCACTTTTCAGTCTGAAGAAGCTTTTTTTTAAAAAAAAATTAATATTAAACAAAAACAAAAATATGATAAGTAAAACTCGAGTTCAGATCTGCTCCAAAAATATTTTTACGTATGAAGAGTCGTTTGTCAGTGTAAGAATAAAGTATGCACTTTAAGGTAAAAGAAACGTAAAATGATTGCCAAAAAAAAAGATAAATAGAGGAGTAAATAGTCAAGAAAAGTTTGATATTAACAAATTAATGAGATTCTTTTAATACTTAAAGGCATCGTTGATTCAAGGACATTTTTAAAAATGTATATATTAAAAAATAGAGTTATTGTGTTAATATTTTAATTCTTTGTCCATTAACTTATTGCAGTTCTGGAAAATTTTTTACCCTTCAACAAATTTATTAGGTACACAACCTTTTCAATAAAAAATTTTCATCACATTTCAGTATATTGGAATATATAGAAAGTGTTTTAATACCGCAAAAACTTTCCATCGACAGCTGCCAAAGACAATTGTAGCTACTGCCAAGCGCATGACATTCGGATATTTTGTGAAATTAAGCTGTCGAGAGAAAATTAATTTCCTCATGTCTATATAGTACATAAATAATTGATAATATACATTTCATTACTCAAAAAAAAAATACCACGAAAACATGGAGAATTAAATTCAGAAAAGAATAAATGGATGTTTAGATATTTCTTTTTCAAAAGTTTTTTTTAAACTTAACTTCTCATTGCGCAATTCTCACTCAGTACTAACTCTTAATTTTTTCTATTCATTTTGTGCGGGTATATAGCTGATAAAGCGGATTTAGTGGTGTGAGTCTAACTCTCAAAGTATCGTTAACCTCTTATCCTTCTCTCATAGTAGTGCAAGGCGTGGCTGGTGAAGATAAAGTGCAGCAAACCCCGCAGATTTTACCAAGAGTCCAGATTTTATAGTATTACTCGTTAACTACTGAAAAATAAAAAAAAACGACGATTTGAAAACATTTTAAATTGCAGTTAGAAAGGAAGAACTTGATAACGATCGGTTTTACAAGAACTTTTCCACTTTTATATACTTGTTTTTTAACTTCCCGCCATTTTCATGAAAAGTGAACAAAGTTATTTCTCCGGGTGCGAACATTGAAAATTAAATTTCCCGAAATTTTTACTCTTTAATTATTTTTCAAAAAAAGTTTAGTAAGTAAAAATTGCTTTGGATTCATTATTTTTTAACGATCATCTTAACTTATTTGAGCATCTCTCTGAATGCTTTTATTAATATTTTATCTATTCTATTCTATTCATAGCAAAGAAATAATTACCTAAGAGAACAATGAGGTAAATTAAATAAAAAAATTTTCTCAATAAAAAATTCTTCCATTTTTAATTTTTTTTTGTGTCAAATATTTGAATATTTTTTTGACATTAAGCAAAAAGAGAGAGTAAATAGAAGTGAATCACTAGGGCAAGGCAGAATATTAATAAATTAATCAATAAATTAACGAATACTCAAAAGTCGTATTTCAAATAAGTAATAAATGAAAAGTGCTTTAAGCGTTTTCAAGCTTATTTTAATAAATTAATGAATTACTCAAAGAACTTCTCTTTGCCTTTCTCTCCACTATAGATCTCATATTCAGAAATTCTAAATTATAAAATTTGTTGGAGTTGAATAAATATTTACATCATTAAAAAATTTCAAACAAAAATATTATTCAGTGTAAATATATGATAAGCACATGAATAATGAATATAAATAATAATTTATCAACAATTAATTTTAATTTGATAAATCATTACTTGATAATAAAGTTTTTCCTGTCTATGTTCTATAAATGATATTTATTGATAAGCATTCTTATAAAAATAATATAATAGAGAGAAATATATTTATTGTTATCATTAATAGATGAAAAAAACATTCACTAGTGTTAATTGCATAGTTTAAAAGTTCAAATCTTTGTCAAATAGATAAATTTAACCACTAATTATACAATAATAAAATTAAATTTAAATTCATTGATATCTGAACTCCAATTAACGTCGTTTCTTTTACCATGAAAGTTTTCTCGAATCCAATTTTTACCCAAGATTTTCAATAAATTTTTTTCCTGTCTTCATCCGAACTTCCCTGATGATCGAAAGATACTTCAATCGTAAAATTTTAGATCGAAAATTTTTCTCCTGGGAGTATGTAGATATTTATACGTTGCGCTGGAAATTTGGCGCTTTTATTATCACAGTAGTTCCCACGGAAACCTTAAATTTCCAGAGCAACACATAGCCTGTATCCATCTGCGTTAAATTGGCTTTAGAATAGCAACAAATTTCGAAAATCGGTCCGATGAATCCTGGGATTACTTTGTGTGATGAATTTTTCACCATCTAAAAATGTAATGATTGTGTTATTTGTTTTAAACAAAGAAAAATTTTTCTTTATTCTCCAAATTCCTATTATTCTCTTCAAAAAAATCTATCAATTTCTTTTATTATTATTTCTCTATTATTAATTCATTAAATTTCATCTCATTTATCCGATTACTTCATTAAAATTCATTAGTATTTGTTAATTTATTGATTAATTTAATAATATATGGTTCTGCTGCGCATTCCATTTTACTCTTCCTTCTTCCCCTACTAATTATTATTTTAAAAAAATATTTAAATAACATTATTGTTTAAATAGACTTGAATATTTTAAACATTGTTCTAATAACTTTTATGAAAATCAAATCATAAATAAAGTTTGATGTATGTATTAATTAGCAGTAAATAAATACCAGAAATAATAGATATATTTAAATTTCCTTTTAAGTAAGAGTCATTGGTGCATATCAAAAATCAAGACCTTTTCATTTCACAGTTGGATTCATTTCATTATAAATCATGCGAGAATACTTGCAATAACTCACTTAAAGGAAGTTAGTAATTTTATCATGCCACTTCAGTAAATATTTCCCTCACGGCAACTTACACCCACGTCACTAAACTGTATAGAAAATGTTACTTTTGTCTACACTTTTGAATAAAAGTCAAACTAGACTTCACTCAACTTGAAAATTATAATAACAATAAAATGATAAAATCAAGACTCAATTTTATGTTAATCTAAAATGATTGGAATCTGACATTCAATAGCCTTCATGATTGAATTTCACTATTTC